TTATTGCAGGGTCTCAAGCACTACAGGGTCTGGGTGTTATTGTAGGGTCTCTGGTGTTATTGTAGGGTTGTAGGGGTTGGTGTTGCTGTAGGGATGTGTGTTGCTGTAGGGTCAGTGGTGTTTTCGTAGGGTTGTGGGGCTGGGTGTTATTGTAGGGTTTCTGGTGTTATTGTAGGGTCTGGTGTTATTGTAGGGTGTTATTATAGGGTTGTGGGGCAGTGATGTTTTTGTAGGGTTGGGGCACTAGAGGGGCTGGGTGTTATTGTAAGGTCTCTGGTGTTATTGTAGGGTCATGGGGATTGTGGGTTTTGGCATTATTGCAGGGTCTCTGGTGTTATTGTAGGGTCAGGGTTGCTACAGGAGGTGGGTGTTATTGTAGGGTCAGTAGTGTTATTCTAGGGTCTCAGGCACTACAGGGGCTATGTTGGTGTTGTTGTGTGGTTGCTGGTGTTATTGTAGGGTCTCCCCAGTGACAGCCCTATATATCACAGGGGCTCCCCACACAAGTCTCTTCCCAGAGGACCTTCTCAGCTGCTCCAGGGAATCTGTGGGTGCCCCTTTGTTATTGTAGGGTCTCCCCACACTGGTCTGTTATTGTGGTTTTGTCACATGCTGGTTTGTTATTGTAGGGTCTCCCCTTCCAGGGTGTTATTGTGGGGTCTCCCCACCTCAGTCTGTTACTGTGGGGCCTCCCCTCACTGGTCTGTTATTGTAGGGTCTCCCCATGACGGTTCGTAATTAGGGGGTCTCCCCATGATGGTTTGTAATTAGGGGGTCTCCCCATGATGGTTCGTTATTGTGGGGCCTCCCCTTCCAGGTGTGTTGTTGTGGGGTCTCCTTACCTCAGTCTGTTATTGCAGAGTCTCCCCACACTGGTCTGTTGTTGTGGGGTCTCCCCACGCTGGTATGTTATTGTAGGGTCTCCCCATGCCAGCAGGTGTCATCGCACCTCAGGCTGCCCCGCATTCCCCCACTCCCCTGCTCCCCGACATCCGGCCTCCCCCTGGCTCCCCCCCCCACCACGGGATGGCACAGGGCCACTCGGTGTCCCCCTGAGTGTCCCTGGCATGGGAGGGGCATGGGACCCCCAGCTGCGAGGACAGGGGGGGGACAGGGAAGGAAGGGGGATGTTGGGGAGCAGGGAATGGGGGTTCCAGGGCAGGGGGATGGGGTGTCAGGGGAGTGGGGGAATGCCAGGGGATGGGGTGTCAGGGGAGTGGGGGAATGCCAGGGCATGGGGTGCCAGGACATGGTGGGGATGTCAGGGAATGGTGGAACAGGACATGGGGTGCCTGGATTGGGAGGGGGGGGTTTAGGGGAAGGGGTAGCGGTGTAATGCAGGGATGACAGGGAAGGGGGTGCCACAGTAATGGGGGGCTGCCAAGGAATGTGGTGCCAGGATGGAAGGGGATGCCAGGGAATGTGGTGCCAGGACACGGGGGATGGCAGAGGATGGGATAACAGAGTAATGGGGGGATGCCAGGGAATGGGGTGCCAGGGGAGTGGGTGGCTGTCAGGGAACAGGATACCCGGGCAGGTGATTGGGATCCAGGGCAAAAGAGGGGTCCCAGGGGTTGGGGTGCCAGGTTAATGGGGGGATCCCGGTGGGTGGGGTGTCAGGATGCCAGGGGATGGGCTGCCAGGGAAGTGGGTGGATGCCAGGGCATGGGATAGCAGGGCAGGTGATCGGGATCCAGAGCAGCGGGGGGGTGCCAGGGGGCGGTGTGCCAGGCCGCGGGATGGCGGGCCGGTGGGGCGGAGTGCCGGGGGGATACCGGGGAGCGGGGCTGCGGGGGGGATGCCGGGGAGCGGGGCGGCGGGAGGGGGTACCGGGGCGGCGGGTGGACGTCCCCCGCGCCCTCGCCCCGCTTTCCCCCGCCGTCCCCGCTGCCTGCCCGGCGCTATTTGAAGTGGGACAAGAAATGCTCCACGGGGTATCTCGGGGAGTCGATGCCCAGCGCCTGGCACAGCCCCAGCAGGCGCACGCAAGCCTCCGCCCGCGTCGCCCCGTCGCACGCCACGCTCAGCAGCGGCTCCTCGTACTCGCCGTCCCCCGCCACCTCCTCGAAGAGCCGGTTGAGGCGGACGAGCCCCCGGCCCTGCAGCTCCCGCAGCGCCTCCATCCCGCCGCCGCCCGCCAGCGCCGCGCCGTGCTCCGAGCCCAGGCACATCACCCCGGCCAGGTGGGCGCGGGGCGCGGGGCGGGCGGGCAGCACCGGCGGCACCCCCAGCGCCACCAGCACCGCCGCCAGCAGCAGGTCGGGGCCGTAGACCTCCCGGATCCAGTCGCGCAGGTAGAAGCCCCCCATGCGGGGGTTGATCTCGAGCAGCCGCGGGCCCCCCGGCCCCAGCTTGAGCTCCACGTTGAAGACGCCGTCGCGCAGCCCGCACGCCCGGCAGCACTGCAGGGCCGCCCGCACGAGCTGCGCCTGCCGGTCGGCGGGCAGGCAGGAGGGCAGGCAGGCCGCCGTCTCCAGGAACGCGGGGACGCGCGTGGGGCCGTTGTCCGACACCCAGGCGCCCACGAGCCGCCCGTCGAAGACCACCAGGTCCACGTCGTGCTCGGTGCCCGGCACGTACTCCATGAGCAGCATGGCGTTGCCCCAGCCCAGCCCGATGCCCGGGTGGTCGGCGTCGTCCCGCAGGTCCCGCCACAGCCTCGCCGCGTGCGCGTGGCACTGCCCGGCGTCCTCCACCAGCCGCACCCCGACGGCTCCGGCCCCGAACTCCAGCTTGGCCACGGCCGGGAAGGGCACGGCGCCCGCCGCCCGCTCCACGTCGCCGTGGCTCTGCAGCCGGCGGCAGGGCACGGCGAAGGCGGCGGGCGGCGGGCGGCCGCGGCGGCAGCGCTGCAGGTGCTGGTGGGTCCGGCTCTTCTGCTTGGCCACGCGGACGGCGGCGGGCGAGCAGCCGCGCAGCCCCAGGCCCTGGCACACCAGCGCCGCCAGCACCACGCAGTCGTCCCAGTAGGAGAGGCAGGCGTGGGGCCGCAGCCCCCGGGAGCGCACCAGCTCCAGCACCCGCTCCGCGTGCTCCTCGTCCCGTCGGTGCTCCCGGCTGTCGTAGGGCAGGAAGGTCTGGACCAGCCCCGCCGCGAAGTGGTCCGGGTCCGACTCCACCAGGTGGATCTGCGTCGCCAGAAGAGGTGTCGCCGGGACGCCCACCGCCACCGGCCGCGATGCGGCACCCGGCGTGCGCTCCGAAACCTCCGGAGGGCAGCGCCCCGAACCCTCCTCACCCTCAGCCCGTAGTCGCGAGCCGCCTCCCACACGAAGCTCTTGCTGACGCCGCCGGCCCCGATGAGCAGGATGTCCTTGCCCTCCACCAGGTGACACTGCGCCCGGTGCAGCATGGCCTCGGCCAGCAGCCGGGGCAGGTCCCCGGCGGGCTCCCCCACGGCGCGCCCCATGGCCTCGGCCAGCACGCAGGTCTCCAGGCACCGCTGGCTGTTGGTGGCCAGGGCCACCAGCTCCAGGGCGTCATCCACGCACGCCAGCAAGAAGTCCACACCTGGGGACGGTGACAGTGACGGTGACGCCGCGCTCAGCGCCGCGGGGTGACATCGGGGACCGGCGCCGCCCCTCGCCGCGCTCACCCAGGATGTCAGTGCGGGCGCGGGTGCCGCCGCGCTGCTGCGGGCTCAGCTCGGCCTCGGCGGCCAGGAGGGCGGCCATGGCGGCCTCGGCGGCCTCCCGGAGCTGCGTGGCCAGCGCCTGGCGCTGGCTGGGGGCCACCACTCCCCACTGCTGCAGGCTGGAGTCCAGGCCCTGGGGCAGCGCCGCCCCGTGACGCACCGGGCTGTCCGCGCGTCCCACGGCGCAGGCCACCTGCAGGGACACCGGCGCGGCCGTGGGGACACCGGCTGCGACCCCATCGCTCGGGGACGTGGGCTGCCGCAGCGGCGTGGGGACATGGACGGCCACACAAAGTAGTAGGACTACCTTGCCACCAGGTATGGGGGTGTTGGCTGCCACCTCATAGCCTGGGGACCCAGCTGCCACCAGGGAATGGGGATGGGGGGTGACACATTGACCCAAGGACTGGGATATGGATGGACACCATAGCCAGGGGACATGGGGATGTGGGCTGTCATGTTAATAGCTTGGGAGCACCGGGTGCCACCATGGCTTGGGGACACGGACAGCCACCATAGCCTGGGGACATGTGGGGCCACCAGGACACTGATGGCCACCATAGCCTGGGAACACACAGGGCCACAGGGGCATGGGGACCTGGGCTACTGTGCCATAGCCTGGGGAACATGGGCTGCCACCAGGGCTTGGGGACACGGATAGCTTGGGGACATGCGGGGCCACCAGGGCTTGGGGACCCACCGTACCTGGCAGAGCTGGGGCCGGTCCCCCCAGGACCTGCAGAGCAGGGTGCAGATGCGCAGGGCCACGGGCAGCCGCGGGGCTGGGCTGCCTGGGGGGCGAGCGACAGGGCAGGCACTGTCCCTGCCCAACCCCCCCCCTCCTCCGGGGGCTTTGGGCACCCCCCCGTGGCACCACGGTGGCCCTGGCCAACCCCAGCCCCAGGGGAGTGTGGGGTACAGCATGGGCATTGTCACCCCCAGCCCCAGGGGACTGTCAGGAGGCAAAGGGGGTCACCTTCCCTCCCACCTCTGGAGACCATGGGAGTCCAAGATGCCCTTCCCTCCCACCCCAGGTGACCGTGGGGGTCCAAGGTGACTTCCCCCCCCAACCAGGGACCATGGGGGTCCAGGGTGACCACCCTCGTGCCCACCCCCAGGATCTTTGGAGTTTGGGCATCCCGATGACCCTCCATCCACCCCCCACCCACCCACCCACCCCAGGGGACAGACACATGGCTGGCACAGCCAGGGGGACCCGGGGGGACCCTTTCCCCCCTCCCTGAGGGTGGTGGGCGCCCAAGGGCGGGGGCCTTACGTGGGGGGGGGCACGGGCAGGCGGGCGGTGGGCACCATGGCCTCCAACAGGACGCTGTCCTCCTCCGTCAGCCCCCGGAGCTGGGCACCCACCGCCTGCACCACCGACGCCCCCTCCTCCTTCCGGTGGGTGCTGTGGGTGCCCGTCCCCCGCCACCGCCACCCCGCCGGCCGCACCACCACCTGTGGGCACCTCCGTGTCACCCTGTGCCACCCCATCACCTATGAGCACCCCCGTGTCACCCTGTGCCACCCCATCACCTGTGAGCACCCCTGTGTCACCCTGTGCCACCCCACCACCTGTGACCACCCCCATGCCACCCAGTGCCACCTGGTGCCACAGCAACAGCCACCCCACCACCTGTGTGTACCCCCATGCCACCCCACACCATGGTCACCACCTGCATGTGCCAGTGTGCCACCCAGGGCCACCCCAACAGCCACCACACCACGCCGGTACAGTTGTCACCCTCTGTCACCAGTGACACCCTACTGGTGTGTGACCCACAGGTGCCCCCACCGTGCCCCTGTGCCCTGCTGTGCCCATGCCCCTTACCCCTACCCCCCTGCCACGCCCTGTGGGTGCCCCCCGTGCCCCCCTGTGCCCACCTGGCTGTAGGGCTCCATGGCGGTGCCCCCCCAGGAAGGCGCCCACCTCCTCCTGCACCAGGCTGTCCTGGCCCTGGGGGTCCTGCAGCCGCACCAGCCTCACCCCGGGCACCTCCAGCTCGGCGGGCAGGTCCCCCCGAGCCCCCAGGACAAAGGCCAGCGTGGGGGGCACAGGCAGGTTGGCACGAGCCGCCAGCACCCAGCGGGTGACCAGCAGGTCCTCGAGGCGGCGGGCGAGCGGGGCCGAGCCCCCGGTGGGGCAATCGAGGTCACGGGCCAGCTCAGCCGCCCAGCCGCCCTCGGGGTCCCACGGCGCGAACGTGCCCGTCACGTAGTTGGCACGGCGGGGGGGGCACGAAGGTCTCCAGGGCGCTGTGACCCCCCACCTTGAAGGAGACACCCTGGGAGAGCAGCAGGGACCAAGCACCGGGACACGACTCCGACGGCACCCGGCTGGCCCAGGTGGGTGACAGGCACAGCACCATGGCACCTGGGGGCGGGCAGGGGGTGGGCAGTGAGGATCCCACACCCCCTGACACCCCGGGGTGGCGTTTGCTGCTGGACTGGTGTGTACTGGGGTTAGTGGAGCACGGGGGGTCGGTGCCACCCTCCTCCCCTGCCTCAGTTTCCTTCCCAGCCCCGGTCACGCAGCACAGGCAGGTTTGGGGACCCCCCCCACTGTGGGTTCGGGGCTGGGGACAAGGGGGCGGTACCCACCTGGGCAGCGGGTGCCACCCTCCAGCAGGACGGGCAGGAAGGCGGTGGGGGAGCCCAGGATGCAAACGGTCATGTCCAGCGGGCCAAATCCTGCCGGGAAGGGGAGGGTCAACAGCCCCGGGGTGGGAACCCCGGTGCCACCCTGTCCCTGGCACCCCAGCCCGGCTGGGAGACCCCAAATATCCCTTGTCCCGAGCCTGGCACTGTGCCCCCCAGTGCCGCCCCAGTCCCTGCCACCCCCATGTCCCCGGACTGGCACTATTCCCGGATCCCAGTCCCTGCCACCCCCGTGTTCCCAGCCTGGCGCCATTCCCCCACCCCAGCCCGTGCCACCTCCGTGTCCCCAGCCCGGCGCCGTGCCCCCCGTGCCTCCCACCCGTGCGGGGCTCCGTGGAGCAGTCCAGCGTGGGGGGGCAGCCCCTCCTGGCACAGGGCGCTCTGCAGCCGCTCGAAGGCATGGGTGGCACCGTCGGGGTCCCCGCTGTCCCCGGGCACGTCGCCATCGGGGGCCTCGTCCTCCAGCCAGCCTGGGCACAGCGCCTCGGGCCCTGCCCACTCCTGCTCCGCAGGGCTGGGCACCCGCTCCGGGCTCGGCTGGGCCATCGAGAGCTGCGGGAGCAGGGACCGCACTGGCACGGGGCTGGCACGGGGAGAAGGGGGTGGCACGGGGCTGGAACTGGGATTAGGGGGTGACATGGGGCTGGCACGGGGTTAAGGGGCTTGGGATGGGGCTGGAACAGAGCTAAGTGGATGGCATGCAGTTAAGGGGCTGGTATGTGGGGCTGGCACGGGCTAAAGGGCTGGTATGGCGGTGGCATGGGGCCAATGGGATGGCACGGGGCTGGCATGGGGCTAGTGGGATGGCATCACGCTAGTATGAAGCTTGCATGGGACTAAGGGAGAGCACGTGGCTGGCACAGGGCTGGTGTGGGGCTGCCACAGGTCTAAGGGTTTGGTGTGGGGCCAGTGGTTTAGCATGGGACTGGCATGGGGCTGGCACAGGTCTGAAGGGCTGGTATAGGGGTGGTATGAGGCTGGCATGGGGCTAATTGCTTGTCACGGGTCTGGCATGGGGCTAAGGGGCTGGTATGTGGCTAGCAGGCTGGCACGGGGCTAAATGGGTGGCCGTGGACTGGCATGGGGCTGGCTCGGGTTTGAGGGGCTGACAGGGATCTAAGGGGCTGGCGTGGGTGTGGCACGGGGTTGTCACGGGGGCGGACACCGGGCGGGCACGGGGGACACGGTGCAGACGCAGCGTAGGGGAACGGGGCGCCGCTGCCACCCGCGGGTGGGGGTGTCACGGTGCCGGGGGCGCCGGGCACAGCGCCACCGCCTCGGGGACAGCGGGGCAGTGCCAGCCGCCGGGGCCACCAGCTCCCGGACAAAGCGTCCCCTTGTCCCCGCGGGGTCACGCGGAGGGTGGGCACAGCACGCCACGCTGCCCCGCGCCAGTGCCCGGCACCGCCGGGGTCCCCGGGGTGGGCACACACCTCCGCCCGGACCCCCCACCCGGGGCCCACTCACCATCCTGGTGACAGAGGGGCTGCAAGAGAAGGACAGGCAGAGTCAGCGTGGCTCCTTTGGGACCTGCCACTCCCCTGGCCACACCCCCACAGTACTGGAAGCCCCCTCTAGAGCCCCCCATGGGAGGACCCCTCCCGCAGCACCCACCAGAGCCTGGCACCTTTCCTGGGACACCCCTGGGTGCCAACTCTGGTGTCCCCAGCTTGTCCCCTCGGTGCCAACCCCAGCGGCCCCAGTTTGTTCTCTTGGTGCCAGCCCCACAGTGCCATTCCTGGTGTCCCGAGGTTGACCCCTCTGTGCCAGCTCCAGTGGCCCCAGCTTGTCCCCTCGTTGACCACCCTGGCGGCCCCAGATTGACCCCTCGGTGCCAGTCGCGGTGGCCCCGGGTTTTCCCCTCGGTGCCAGCCCCGGTGGCTCCGGCACCTCCGGCTGAGCCCGTGCAGGGATTAATGTAATCCCGTGCCAGCTCAGCACAACCGGGGGCAAACCCCCCGCCCCGAGGGTGCCAAGGCGCCCTGGGGGTGCAGACCCAGGTCCCCGGAGTGTCCCCGGCCCCCAGGGTGTCCCCAGCCCCGGCAGGTGCCCGGCAGAGCTGGCACAGAGGGAAACTGGGGCACGGAGCTGAGCGGTGCCCGCTGGCAGCCGCGCACCGAGGCACCCCCCGCCCCCCGGGGTGCCGGGACCTCCGGGGGACGCGGCGGGGGGGTATCCCCAAGGAGTGGCTGGCAGCCGGGAAGAGGGTTAGGGAACACACTGCTCGGTGATGTGGCACAAGAACCCCCCAAAACCCATCCACGAGGCAGCCACCGGGGTCCCTCCAGGTCCGCGCCCCCCCCCCAGCCTGGGGACCTCCCTGTCCCCCTCCACCCCCAGCCGGGAGGTGGCCCTGCGGTCCCCAAGCTGGGACAGCCGTGTCCCCCGGTACCTTGGGGTGGGAGCCGTGGCCTGAGAGCGCGCAGGGGACGAGGGCTCGGGGACAACTGGCACAGGGGACACCGGCCGGTCTGGCCTTTAAACCCCCCCCCGCGCCGCCCCGGGGTGCCAACCCCCGGCCCCGTGCCCCGGATTAGGCGACACAGAGCCCCATTGTCCCCTCTGCCACCTCGCGCCAGGCGCTGGCACCTCTGTCCGTGTCCCTGTCCCCGTCGCCAGGGAGGGACACGCTGCCATAGCGGGACCCTGGGCGTGGCTCAGCCTGCCGGGGTGTCCCTGTCCCCCTGTCCTGTGTCCCCAGGCTGGGCACGCCCTCCGCTCCCCCCCCCCCCCCCCCCCCCCCCCTGTCCCCAGCGTGGCGGAGCTGCCAACACGCACGTCCCCGGGCTTATCTCCAGCTGCCTGCGGTGTCACTGTCACCGTCACCGTCACCACCACCGGCAGGCACGGGGCCACCAGCGCGGCTGCTGCGCCGCAGGGTCCTGCACGCGCTGTCACCCCCTCCCTGTCACCCGCACCCTGTCACCCACGCTGTCACCTGCACTGTCACTCACACCTTGTCACCTGCACCATCACCTGCAGCCTTGTCACTGTCACCCCATCACCCGCATCCTGTCACCCACAGCTCGTCACCCGCACTGTCACCTGCACCCTGTCACCCACAACCCCATCACCTGCACCCTGTCACCTGCACCTGGTTACCCTCACCCTGTCACCCGCACCGTGTCACCTGCACCCCCCCCGCACACCTGCACTGTCACACCGCTCTGTGCACACACACACACACACACGTGTGCACACACCCTGTCACCCTGTCACCTGCATCCTGTCACCCACACCTCGTCACCTGCAGTGTGTCACCTGCACATGCACACACATGCACACACACACACACGTGCACGCACACACACGGGCACACACACACATCTGCACACACACACATGTGCACACACAAACGTGCACACACACGCGGGCACACGCACATGCATACACACACGTGCACACCTACATACGCACACACACATGTGCACACACACACATACATGTGCACACACACGCACACATGTGCACACACACATATGCGCACACACACACACACATGTGCACACACACATGTGCGCACACACACACGTGCACACACAAACACACACACATGTGCACACACAAACACACACACATGTGCACACACACACACACATGTGCGCACACACACACACGTGCACACACCCCGGCCTGCATCCCGCTGCTCCCACCCTCCCTGCACCAGCACCCCCCCAAGAACACCCCCCCCCGGATCACCCGGACCCCCACCGGCGGTGGCAGTGGCGGTGTCAGTCGGTCCCGATGCTGTCACACCCCGGCAGTGGCTCTACCCGCTCCGGTTCCTGCGCTGTCGAGGTCTGTCGGGGTCTGTCTGTCTGTCCCGGTGCTGTCACACCCCGGCAGTGGCTCTGCCCGCTCCGGTCCCGGCGGTGGCGGCGGCGCCTCCTGCCCGGGCGGGGCGGCCCCAGGAGGGGCGGGGCGGGACCGGACCGGGGGCACCGGGGGACCGGGGAGACCGAGAGGGGTGGCAGGAAAAGGGGACAGCGGGGGGCTGAGGAGCCGGGATGGCACCACGGGGGGGACGGGGACAGGGAGCGGGACTGGGACACGGGACGGGGACAGGGACGGGGGTAGGGGACAAGTGACCGGGGACAGGGACCGGGCCAGCCCGAGGTCACCCGGGGCCGGGTGTAAAACTGACACCGCGGAGCAGAAATGTCAGGGCCGGGGCAGGCCCCGGGAGCTATTCCCGACCGCACCCGCACGGCGTGGAATGGCACACAGGGAATGGCAGGGAATGGCATGTGGGCAGTGGCACGGCACGGCATGGTGCACAGGGAATGGAATACAGGGAATGGCATGGCACGGCACAGGAGAATGGCATGTCTCGGCATGGCATACAGAGAATGGCACACAGGGAATGGCATGACACGGCACAGCATGGCACGGGAGAGCATGGCACGGCATGGCACAGCCACTGTGGGCAGGGGGATAGGCGGGGGCAGGCAGGGGACAGGCAGGACCCCATTCCTGGCACTGCCACCCTGCCGGAGCCGTGGCACAAACGTGTCACCCTCCTCCGTGTCCCCAGCGGGAGCCCGGCCTTCGGGCTGTCCCCGAGGTGGCAACAGCTTCCCGGCAACCGCTCGGTGCTGCTCCCGACGGTGTCGCCAAGGCCCCGGGGCAGGGACATCCCCGAGCTCTGCCAGGCGTCGTGTCCCCTGGTGTCCCTCTGTGTCCCCTACGTGTGACCCTGACCCCAGTCCTGGGGACCCACTCCTGCCCTGATCCCTCCTGGTCTGCCCCCAACTCCACCCAGCCCCTATCCCTGTGCTCCCAGGACTAGGATACGAGCGCCCATATCGCCCCATGTCCCCTCCGTGTCCCCAGGGCCCCAGTCCCGGGGACCCCCATCTACCCCGAGGCTGCCTCCCCCGCTCTATCTCTGCCCGCCCAGGAGCGGGATACAAGTCCCCGTGGTCCCTCATGTCCCCTTTCCCGCAATGTCACCTTTGCCGAGATGTCCCCTTTCCCAGGGTGTCCCCCTTCCCGGTATATCCCCTTTTCCGGGTTATGCCCTTTCCCAGGAT